AGAGAGAGAGAGAGAGAGAGAGAGAGAGAGAGAGAGAGAGAGAGAGAGAGAGTTTTGTGATAAAAAGAAACATCTGCACGGCACGCGCAGAGGCATTCAGCCAGATAGCACCATTTGATGAGGAGGGGCATTCTTTTGGTAAGTGAGGCTGGTCCTTGCCACTTACTCCACCATTGGATACGAAATCTGATGGGGCTTTACCACACCTAGTAAATTTCCTCCGGGAAGGCATCCATGCATACAGGGAAGAGTCCCCTGGCCTACTGGTTGCTTGAGATTACACACGGTACCATGATTAGCGAAAGATGCTGACCTGGGAGTGCATGTAGTCATCTGCTTCGTCTGCCACCACATTCACCGTTGGATCAACCTTTTTAAGCTGCACATAACAAAGGAAACAATCCAGGTACAAAGTAAACAATATTAAACATCAATTAGCCAGGGATTTCAAATGACATTGAAGATGAGACCACCCATGAAACAAATATTGAGCCTGCCTGCTAGTTGAGATAGCAACAGTGAACTACCAACAGGGCGTCTCCAGGTGGTATTCCCACACAAGTGCGGTGGAGTATGTTTGTCACACAACTGCGGTGAAATATGGAGATGAGATGCGGTTGTGAGGATTTAAGCCCTCGGCATACTGTATGGGGCCCTTACAGCAAGCATGTGCCCACCCTAAGTGAAGGCGGGGCCCCGAATCTCAATGAGGCCTGACTACTGCAATTTTGCAGGCCCTGGTGGGCGCCAGACAGTTACCACGCACCAGTTGGTTACATATGTCCTGCTCACGACCATCGGAATCTCCCGTGAGCCTTCCCGGCTCTTCCAGACTTGATGTGGAAGTCGACCTCTCGGCCTATCAGAAAGCAGGGAACACCTCAGTGCGTGCGAGGTGGTTGGGCACGCCTTACTGCTGCGGGCCCAGGCAACTGTCTGAACAGGGCTGGGCGCAGACACTTTGGCCCAATGTGAAGCTACTGGGCACACGGGTCTCCCGGTCAGGCAGCCTACAGGCCAGGCCGGTTTCCATATAAGAAAGGGCCAGGCCACGAGGGAGGCATTCGGGCACTTGCGCTTGATGCGGAAGCGCTGCCACTACGAGCGCTGAAGGCCGCTGATCGAGTGAGAGCCGGGCGCACGCGGGCGCTGGAGGGAAGGAGGGTGCTGCTAGTGGCAGTGCCCGTCTCCAGCCATAGCCAGGCTTGGAGACGAGAGTCAGCAGAGGTGGTGGTGGTCTCCAAAGGAAGAGGGGATACTGTGGGTGAAGTCGAGGGAGGGCATATAGACAGGGCGAGTGAGAGAGATGATGTGAGAGCACGTACCTGGTCCTGGCGGAGGTCTACATGGTCGACATCTGCACGTACTTTGGTTGCTGCTGCTGACATCAACTGGTTGCTTCGTCAATGTAGTAGGCTAGCGTAGTAACTGTATGATCGTATTCTGGGCGCTGAGCGCCAATAGGAGAAAGAGCTTGAGGTACATTGTTGATGGTGGCGAGGGAGAGCTTTCATTGACAATTGAGTTCGCTGCTTCGATGTGATATCAGTGTATTTATGCTTTTTTTAGACAGCTTTCTACTATCTGGCTTTCAAAGTGATGTTGCAATTTGGATTCTGTCATTTCGCTATTGCTCATTTTCCTTTCAAGGTGTTCATACCGTGTCATTTACAACTGAACAGCATCAATATCACTGATTATGACATAGACGATGGCATCTCTGAAACTACGAGCAGGGTGTGTCTGGCAGACTCTGGCCGGGTTATTTTCTCGCATCGATGTGGCGATGTGTAGGCGCTGCCTCATCGTTGAAACTACCCAGAATGATCGCACAAGATCGTCTGTACACCGGAGCGCATGTAGGTTTTTTGCCACCATACTGGACAGATTCATTGTACGTCTCAGTCGGTCTCCCGAGTCCCGGTCCTACAGTCCCAAAGGTCCGGTCCCACAACAAGTTAGCTGATCCGGCAGGCCCAGTAGTCAAAGTACCGAACTTCGGTCCCATCGGTCTTGACAACCGATGCTAAGGCTTTACGACTTTTTTTTTTTTTTTTTTTTACAACATTCGTATCATGAAACTCCACAATACAGTGCAATCCTGCACGATCCAGTCATCAATTTCTATTGTTTGCATTGCATCTTGTGTGCACACAGCTCTGGTAGTACCTTCCGCTTTGCTTCTTCAGAGATCATCTCCTGATCGCCTTCAAACAAACCACCATCTTCGTCTTCGTTAGCCGCATGTTGTGCAGCAGTGCGTGTACGATGAAAGTACTCCGCCCGACAATACTTCGTCCAAAAATCCTTTTCACTCATCTGCAACAAGGCTTTGCCATAAACGCGGCCCAAAAAGACAAAAGAACACAAGTGACACAATCGTCAAGGACAGTCCTTCGGGACATCCGTTAAAATTCGAACAATACAGAGAATGAAGATTAGCATGGCCCCTGCACAAGGATGACACACATTAAAAAATAATAATAATAATAGTAATAAAATCATCAACGAACAGACGGAAGATGTCAATTAGTTGCCCACTCCCAAGCAAGGGGGGATGCATATGCCTGTTGCAAGTTGGATTGTTGAAGTCATGACCATCTCTATTTGTAACTTTGCAAAACACCATCGTCATCTTTCTGATCTTCTTCCGCGCTCCACGCCACAACCCCCCCCCACTCTTCTCCCCCTCTCCCCCGCAAACCCGTCATCATATCTGTACACCGGTCATCAAGAAAGCACACCTCACATTAATTGCCAGCAAACCAGTTTCATGCACTAGAAAAGATTTGATTGGGTGCAAAATGGTTTCATGCATAGGAAGGATTCAGAATGATCATGGCATGGTCACATCAGGCACCTTTTCAACAGAATTTGCCCATATTTACAGCCTGATACATCTCTAAAAGTACCTGTGTGAACTTGTGCCAATATATTATACCTTCATATCATATCAGAGCATGCCATATTATCACAAATACACGTGTACTAAGAACGATTGACCTGTGCTTGTCTCCAGGCAGGCCCAGCCAAGTACAACCTGGGCAAGCCCGGCCGGGCGACATGTATGTCGGGCCCCAGGCAGCACTCGGATCACAGAATATTACAAAAAAAAAGTTTAAAAAGTTTAAAAAAGTTTAAAAAACTGAAACATAAGACAATTCAAACACACCTGAAAAAACGATTTGTTGCTCAGTTATATATTTTATTCAAATTTATTCCAATACAAAAAAACTTTTGCCCGAGGGTCTCCTCAAAATCCCTTCCTAATTTGAATATCAAATATAAAATCTACGTTACCGAACGTACAAGTACAGGGCCTTTCCTTACGAAACGTACAGGTAATATCTGTATGGGAACCCGTACGTCTTGTACGCCTCCGTACGGGGAACCAAAAAAAAAAAAAAAAAAGTCATAAAAAAAATCAGAAAAACAAAATGTGTTGCAACAGCAGAAAACAAGCAACATTTGGCTGAGCGTCATCTGCAGATTCTTATTATAATTTGAGAACAAAAAAGAAAAAAAAGTCATACGGGCCCCTAGTGTACGAGTAGCGTACAAGTACAGGAATGAATCGCACTCGTACGAGGGTGCATACAAGTCGCAACGTAGGTTAAGATATACCCCTTTAAATCCCCTCCAACCCTGTTTCTGCACCACAAACAACTGTTGATCAAGCGTCTCCTCAAAATTCCATATTAATTTCAAGATGAAAAATAGAATCGAAAACAAAGGTTTAAGATATACCCCTTTAAAACCCCTTTAATCCCTGTTTCAACCCCACAACCCCTCCACCTGGGTGATCCATCACTGAATTGCAACGTAAGGCTGCATTCTGACAGCTCAGGCCAGACACAATTCCTGGCCCAAATCCATAATTCCTTTTTTTAATCCTTGGAACCTTTTGCTTTTATCTGCCCAGTTTTCCCGGGAAGGACCACCCCTTAACTGCCTGGCTTGTCAGGCCCAGCCGCGCACCCGCCCTACAAAACTAGACACTTTTCTTTACGTTTTAAAGTTTTGAACTCCTTAACTACCACTTGTGTCCTAGCAGTGTCAACATGTGAAGTTAAACAAGTTAATAATGCAATAACCCATGCCATATGTCTCATAGAAAGACTGAGGGCCAACTTGGCCGCCTTCAGCCCAGGCCGAAACGGGGGCAAAAAGGACCCCATACGAGGACCCAGGGCCTGGACGTGTGACAGTTGACTTTGGTCAACTGTCGAGACCCCAACAGTCAAAGTCCAAAGGTACCTAGCCCAGGCCGCTGGTCAAGCACACACACTTGTTTGTATGCAGGTACCCAGACAGCATCAGGTCCAAGGGAGAAGTCTGCAAACTGCACAATCCGGGCCCTCAGCTGTGAGTCAATCTGGACGACTACGGGGAAAGCACCCGAGGCCAGACAGCCTCGACAAATGCTACTTAAGGCTGGTCTCGAGTGAGTCAAGCATTCAGTCTTCCTATGCTACTTTGACGCTGGCTCGACTTTGACTAGACACTGGCATTATGCTGGCTCGATGCTGGCTGTCCACTGGCGATGCGGACGACGGCACGAGGTGGAGGCAGCATACTGGCGCTCTCTGCATTGTGCGCCAGGCTTGCTGAGGTGGCATGCTGATGTGGCACTACCTCTGGTCTACATGGCATGCTGATGTGGCGCTACCTCTGGTCTACATTGCATGCTGATGTTGCGCTACCTCTGGTCTACATKGCATGCTGATGTGGCACTACCTCTGGTCTACACAATATGCTGATGTGGCGCAACCTCTGATCTACATTGCATGCTGATGTGGCACTACCTCTGGTCTACATTGCATGCTGATGTGGCGCTACCACTTGTCTACCTTGCTGATGTGGCGCTGCCAATGGTCTCCATTGCTGATGTGGCATATGCCACCTGTCTCGACTGTCGACGTGGCATTGTCCACGCTGTCTACATGAGGTGAATGGTTGCGAGGAGGAGGAAGATCGGGATCTGTGAATGAAGGAGGTCGGGTACTCACCTGAGGTTGACGTCGCACTGGAATCTGCTATGTCTTCATGGTCTTCACGAGATAAAGTGCCACGTGGCACTATTGTGTGTGATCAGGATATACTTGTTATCATTGTTGACGTGGAGAGGGAAGAAGCCCGTAGAAGGAGAGGGGTCTGAAGGGATTATTTGTGATCTTTCATCTTCTCCTTTGTCTATTCCCCCTCCACTCTCTTCTTGTAATGATAATGAGATACTGTTGGAAATATCACTTCACGATTTGGAGACTTTGATGCAGATAATGAGACTACTGATGTTTAATGACTTCTGAGTATCTGCCAGACTCGGTTCATTACAATAAATATTAAATTATCATGTAGACATGCTCACATTTTGTTCCTGTTTTGATAAGAGATGCAACGATCCTTGGGTGTACATCTGTGTGCCTAGTACTGCCAAACCAGCCCAGAGTCGGTTGCAGACAATTTTTTTAGTTTTTTTTTAATGTTTTCCTAGCCCAGACAGAATCTGGTGGAGAATGCAATGTTTAGTTCGACCTTCCAGAGGGAGACTCAGACTTCGGGGGAAACTCACAAGACCGTACCTTGTCAGGGACATTTGCCAAATATGCCTTGTGAACTGCAGGTTTTTCTGCAAAAATCTGGACGTGATCACACAGGAGAGGACAAAATCAGTGATTTTGAGAGTATTTTTAGCGTTCACTGTTCAGCTATTAACAATGTCATCGCCAGAGAACCACAAGATTCATAACCACCAATTCCAAAACTCGAAAGCGGCTACAAAACCAAAGGACAACGAAGAGCAGAACTGCACATAGAATGCATAGACATGCACTTTGGCATCACTGGCCAAGAAGCATTCACACATTTTCCAGGTGACCAACATGGATGGAAAGCCGGCGGAAACACGAAAAGCCAAGAGAAGAAAGCAGTCAGCAGAAATCCAAAGCACGGCAGAAATGAACTCGTGTCTGTGACACAATGGAAGATAACAGTTTTTCAAACTTTTTTCTTTTCTAATTTTTATTTGTATTTTCAAGATAACAAATTCTCCAATCAGTGTTGTTATTGCTGTCTGTTTATCGACTCCTCGGCATTCTTCCCTGTACCAATCAGTCAGTGATGGAGAGCGGTGACTCTCTCTCTTTCTCTCTCTCTCTCTCTCTCTCTCTCTCTCTCTC